CTTTAATACACTTTGGTTCTCCGCCTGGCTTTGGACTCTTCTCCTCCTCCACCTCCTCCTCCTCCTCCCGCGCCTCCTCCGCCGCCGCCTCCTCCTCTTCCTCTCCGCGCCTTCGCTCGGTGCCTGGCCGCCCGAGGCAGATCCAGGCGGCGGCGGAGGCAGCGGGCGCAAGAGCGCCGCTCCCGGGGTTGAAGTCTCCACTACTCCGGTCGCCTGCGTCCGATATCCGGCGGCCTCCAGACGCCCCGCGCGCTGATCGGGAGCGGGAGCCGAGGCGGCGCGGAAGCGCAGGGCTCGCCGGGGTCGGCGGGCCGGCCGGGCGGGCGCGCTGGCCATGCTTCTGGACGCCGGGCCGCAGTTCCCGGCCATCGGGGTGGGCAGCTTCGCGCGCCACCATCACCATTCGGCCGCCGCCGCAGCAGCGGCGGCCGCGGAGATGCAAGACCGAGAACTGAGCCTGGCAGCGGCGCAGAACGGCTTCGTAGACTCAGCCGCTGCGCACATGGGAGCCTTCAAGCTCAATCCCGGCGCGCACGAGTTGTCCCCCGGCCAGAGCTCAGCATTCACGTCGCAGGGCCCCGGCGCCTACCCGGGCTCCGCTGCGGCCGCCGCTGCAGCCGCTGCGCTCGGGCCCCACGCGGCGCACGTTGGCTCCTACTCCGGGCCGCCCTTCAACTCCACCCGAGACTTCTTGTTCCGCAGCCGCGGCTTCGGGGACTCCGCGCCGGGAGGCGGGCAACATGGGCTCTTCGGACCAGGCGCGGGCGGCCTTCACCACGCGCACTCGGACGCGCAGGGCCACCTCCTCTTCCCTGGCCTCCCAGAGCAGCACGGGCCTCACGGCTCGCAGAATGTGCTCAACGGGCAGATGCGCCTCGGGCTGCCCGGCGAGGTGTTCGGGCGCTCGGAGCAGTACCGCCAGGTGGCCAGCCCGAGGACCGACCCCTACTCGGCGGCTCAGCTCCATAACCAGTACGGCCCCATGAATATGAACATGGGTATGAACATGGCAGCTGCTGCGGCCCATCATCACCACCACCACCACCACCCTGGTGCCTTTTTCCGCTACATGCGGCAGCAATGCATCAAGCAGGAGCTCATCTGCAAGTGGATCGACCCCGAGCAGCTGAGCAACCCCAAGAAGAGCTGCAACAAAACTTTCAGCACCATGCACGAGCTAGTGACCCACGTCTCCGTAGAGCACGTTGGGGGCCCGGAACAGAGCAACCACGTCTGCTTCTGGGAGGAGTGTCCGCGCGAGGGCAAGCCCTTCAAGGCCAAATACAAACTGGTCAACCACATCCGAGTACATACGGGCGAGAAACCCTTCCCCTGCCCCTTCCCGGGCTGCGGCAAGGTCTTCGCGCGCTCTGAGAACCTTAAGATCCACAAAAGAACCCACACAGGTAACGGCGGGCACGGGTGCACGAGAGCGCTGCGTGTGTGTGTGTGTGTGTGTGTGTGTGCGCGCGCGCGCGCTCGCGCTCGTGTGCCCCCGTCCCAACACTGGGTGCCAATCCCCAGCCGGGGCGCTGGGTTGGGAGATGGTTTTGTGTGTGCGAGAGAGTCGGCGGCTTGTTTTTGTTGGATGATGAAAGACTATTACAGGGCTGGGTTTTTCCATATGCGGAAATTGAGTTTTAAATGATAAGCGAAACATCAAATGTATGCTGGGGTGTGATGCAATGGCTTCGTTTGCTCAGCTCCAGTTAATAATTTCCGTTCTAAAGTGAACGCACAAAATAAAACTGTTCTCTAACTCAGTGCCCGGGAATCGAGCCTAGAGAGGATTTTGCCAGCTTGTGTGAATGTGCTTTTGGGCTCCGGGTGTATGTCTATTTGAGTGGCTGGTGTGGTTTCCCATTTCTTTTTACTCAGGGACCAAACGCCCTTCTCGGGACTGTTTCCCATTAAATGTGCCGTGTGTTAGTCGAAGCTGTAAAGCATTTCTCATTTTTAAAGTGTTTTTTAAAACCCGTCTCGGGGTGGGTCGCGGGGCGGGTCGCGGGGCTTTACGGTAGTTTTGCAGCAGTTTGAGAAATTCTCTAATGGGCACCAGAGGGTTTGGGATTCCAAACTCGTATCCACAACCCGGTCAGTGAGAGCCCCAGGCAGAGCCGCCCTGCGGGGGAATTGCGTGAGGAGAGCCGGGGGGAAGAAAAAAACAACAACCGCGTCTCCCGCCTCATAGATTATTCATCTATGACCAGGTCTCAGCCAAAACCGTGCCAGACGATTTCCTAAAAGAAAGCCAAATGTTTTAGCAACTTACCCCGTCAATATTTACTCCGACGTGGGGATGCGCCAGCGGCCTATTGTTCTCATTTGGGAAGGGAGGGAGCCGAGGTGCGAGACAAGCTTTTAACAAGGTTTAAAATTTGAGAAATTTATTTGCATGAAATGCTTGCTTTCGAGTCCTTGTCTGAGCGGATGTCTTTAAAAAAAAAAAACAATTTAGGTGCTAATGAAATTTAACGTTAAACGGCCCCCTTTCCAAGTGGATCGACGTTTGAGTTCTCACACCTCTAAATGACTCCAAGCGTTTGGAATTCTGGCAACAGGATGCGGGGACCGCCAGAAAATTAAGCAGATTCCGAAAGGTTTTCCTAACTCCACCCCCCTCCAGCTTGTGCCCCTTTTCATCATTAGAAAGCTGCCTCCTCGCTAATATTTATCTTTTATTTCAACTTATTTTTAGAAGAGTGGAGGAGAGACTAGAATTGTGATTAATTCAATTTGCAGAATTTTGGATGAGAAATACTGGCTCGGTCTCTATCTTACAGCCCGGCCCCCAAAACAAAACACAGCAACTCCAAATGTAATTGCCTACTGGCCCCAGAGAGAAACCGACAGCAGCCCAGCAGCCTGTGTGATTTTTATAATGCCCCAAATATTTTGTCATAACAACAGCTTCTCTATGGCAGAACAACTTGTTAGATGCTGCGAATCCAAGAAGCTTTACAGTAGAAAGACCAGCAGGGCCAGGAGTTAAACCTAAATTGGTTAGGAATTTGCAGAGATCCGGCGTCATTCAGGAAGAAAGTAAAATATGCAGTAAATGATCAGGACTGTCAGGTGGGAAGGAGGGTAATTTCGTCTTGGTTCTGCCACCGAGGGGTTGCGATCGGTTTAAGGGACTCGGGCAGGACACTCGGTCAGTCCCTGCAGCCCTTCTTCGGCCGCACCGCGGCCCTGCCCCTGCGCAGCCCGAGCGATGAGAGGTTCAGGCGCCGGTGTTTGCCTTCCACAGGGGAGAAGCCTTTCCAGTGTGAGTTCGAGGGCTGCGACCGGCGCTTCGCCAACAGCAGCGACAGGAAGAAGCACATGCATGTCCACACCTCCGACAAGCCCTATCTCTGCAAGATGTGCGATAAGTCCTACACGCACCCGAGTTCCCTGCGCAAGCACATGAAGGTACCACTGCGGTGGCCGGGTGGAGGGCGAGGCCTGCCCGGCGCGCTGGCTCCTCACCGGCCGGGATAACCCCCCTTCAGCCCGGGAGGGTCCTCAAGGGGCCGGGGCGGCCGGGGGCACTTCTGGGGTGCTCCCCTCTGGGGGAGCGGCCTCACAGCAGCTGCACTCACACCCAGTCCCCTCTGGTCCCCCCTCCCGGCTTTTGTCTTGCAGGTCCATGAGTCCTCCCCGCAGGGCTCCGAGTCCTCCCCGGCCGCCAGCTCTGGCTACGAGTCGTCCACTCCCCCGGGGCTGGTGTCCCCCAGCGCTGAGCCCCAGAGCAGCTCCAACTTGTCGCCCGCGGCAGCGGCGGCAGCAGCTGCGGCCGCAGTGTCTGCGGTGCACCGGGGCGGAGGCTCCGGCAGCGGCGGCTCCGGAGGCGGCTC